TATAATAAAATTTAAAAGTTTTTATAAAAAATAATTAAAAATACAATATTTAAAACATTTTGAAAAAGTTAAAATAAACATTTTTGGTTTCGGCTTGACATTTTTTTTTCATTTCAATTTTATGTCGGTTTTTACATTTTCTTGTTTAGTTACTTTTTCCAATAAACTCTTTGTGAAAGAAATTCTAACTTTTGTATGGTGATTTTAATTGAAACTGAAGAGTTTATTCTGTAAAGAAGAGCCCTGTTCATTCATAAATATTGGTTATTCCTAGAACACTCTGCATAAGTATGGAAATTGGGATTATGCGGTAAAGGGATTTTCTTGAAAATCTAGACCGGTTATTTAAACTAGCCATGCCTATTTTTAGCCACCATTACTTGATCACACTGGTAAATGGCTCCCTGAGTTTATTGGAGGCCCTTATGCATTTTATGCACGTTTTACAATTGTTTGTGATACCATGTATCCATATTTAACATGCTTTTTTCTCGAAACTGCACCAAAGATGTAAAAAGCAGTGCACCTATGCACCTGTGCACCTAAAACATACATGTGCATATAGAGCATTAGAGTAAACCAATTACATTTTTATATAGATGTAAAATGCAAATTTGTAATGCCAGTTGAAACCCTAGGAAGGTGTGTTTGTGCAGTCTTGCTATATTTGCAGCTGTTGGTTAAGTGTATGGATAGTTTGTTAAATGCTGAGGTTTATGGAGGGGTGGGGGGTAATTGTAGGAGGTTCAAGCAGTTGAGAAAGAAATTGTGTTGTATGAGCAGGAAAGAGCTGCTTGCAAGCACTGAACCCCTGGATAAGCTTTTTAGTATAAGACTAACTTTGTTTTTTTTCAAAACCCCTTCCTGTCTGGTGAGCCCTGTATATGTAACTGCTAAACTATATTGCACTTAGTGAAATTTTGTTAAAGTTGAAAACAAGCCTTATATGTTAAGCAATAAACAGGACTTTATTTGAAATTCAGTATTTTTCTACATGTTGTACTGATACTGAATCCCCTAACTACTGGTTATAGGTGGGCATAATGCAAAAAAACACTACATAATATAAAACAGTTTGGTGAAACAAACATTTAAAGTAGTATTACATTTTCAAGCTATTTTCAAAAATGAATATACCGGTAGCTCAGTTTTTGCACAGTCATGTTTTGGAACAGCTGGCTTTTGCTATCTCAGCTCTGCTTTCCTATACTTCTTGTTGAGAACAAGATCAAAAGGCATCATAAGGTCTCCAGCACAGTATTCAGCAGCCATCCATCTAAAAGCTTAGAGAAGGGAAGAGAGCGGAGCAGGGAGCAGAGGAGTGGCTTGCCTTGCTGTTCCTGTTTTTTTGTGGAGACACACAAAGCTTACTAGCACACACAAGGGCTTCATTGGACCCTGCAAGGGAAAGCGTTCAGGGAACCAGAATCTCCTCCCAGCGTCAGGAATAGGCCCCGAAGAAACCTGCACCTTCACATCTGTGGGTCGAAAATTTAAAATAAAAAGTGCCAAACGTGGATAGAGTGCTTAAATAAATCTAAAGTGCCAGTGCACCACTCTGACAGGCCTTAGGGGCCGGAGTGCAAAAATATTGCCCCAGACTAGCCATAAGGCCTGTCTTGGAGGCGAAGTGCAGAAAATTGCAAGGTGGTGTGTGACCAAGTGCCAGTGAGTCATGTGGGGTCCCACACCCATGTGACTTCCTGAGCACCCCTGGGACGCCCCCCCCAGGGGGCACAACACCACGGGCTTCTGCCGCCACCGAACCCTCGGGCCAGACCCCCTAGTTCTCCGCTCACATCAGGAGGTAGTGCCGTCGGGGGTCCTCCCACTGTCTAGGGTCTACCCGTACATCAGGGCCTGACGCAACTAGCAATGGACCGAACCGTCCTCTGACACCCACCATTACGTCAGAGGGTACTAGAATGTTCTCCCATCGGGTGGCAACATCCTCTCCCCTCCAACAACTGATAAGAACAGATACTACACTTGATCTTAGCCAAAAGGCCGAGAAGCGATCCAGATGTATGACTTAATTCAGCTAGTTATACATGGTCGCAGCCCCAGTCTGAAATTTGATTGCCAAATGCCTCATTCTGAAAAACCTCACACTTCCCCAGCACTTTTCTTAAAGGGGACCAGATGGAACTGCCAAAACGTTGATCAATATTTCACATTACATCTTGATTAGGGAGGACAATGGTTAAACTTTCTCAGATTCCATGAATCCTGATTTGAATGTCTTTTAGGGAAGCATGCCATTGTTTAAATCTCAAATGCAGGACCCCACTTTGGTACCCACCACAGAGCAAACATTAGTGTATCGTTTTGTTTGCCAACGAGTTCCACAAGCCTCCACTGGATTTCATAATTTGAGCTGGTTTCTAGAGGAAGACCATGTGGATTGATTTATCTTGTGAAACATATATGTAAAGTGTGATTACTATCCACAAAATCATGATTGAGGAACACATACTGTATATAGTACAGACTAGGAGGCTCATTTGCCCAAGGTTCAGTGGTTTTAGACTGTATAAGAAAAGGAGGTTTCACTTTGAACCTTGAGAGGTATGTGGTAGAAATGGAGGAAGCCAGGTACCTTGGGTACATTGTGGGTCGAGGTCTGGTCAAAGCTGAGCTAATTAAGATGTAGGCTATCCAGAGTTTGCCCACCCTCTAACAAAGAAACAGGTTTGAGCATTTCTAGGAATTACTGATGGTTTGTGCCCAACTTTTACACCTTGGCTGCCCCTTTACCTTATTTAACCAAAGGTTGAAAATCCGCCATGGTGAAATGTTTTCAAAATACATTGGGCATGGGCAATAGGAATTGGACAGTAAAGTGAAATTGTCTGCAAAGTCCATGTCCTACAGTGTTGTTTTAAAGCCAATTTCAGAGTGTTCTTCCAGTGTCACATTGTTTTGCTTCAGCAAAATTGATTCTGGTTTACACAGACTGATTCAAGCTAGTGCACACAATCTAGTCCTCACTTTATCAAGCAGTGAGTGAATTAGGCACCGTTGTTCAGTAGATAGTCAATCTAGCTTGGGTTTCATTTCACTGGTTGAACAGCTTGTGTCCAAAGCCGTCTGTCTAGCTGTCTAGATTACAAAATGCAAGCCTCCCAATGACAAGGGCCTAACCCATCTAAGAGGTATATGATAAATAAGTAAGGGGAAAACTGGTCTGATCTTGAAGACAGCTGAGGACATGTTTGTGAATAAAACATCAACCGCTGCTTTTCTGTGGATATCAACATGGTTCCTTAACATACTTCCACTTAATTGTAATTAAAGCACCATATATTGTTCTGGGACTTATTGTTCTAGAAATGTTGATTATTTAGAACACCAGAGGTGTTGCTTTATCTTTTTTTAAATGTGAATTTTTTTTCTTTATATAGATCATAGGTTTCTGGACTATGGAAAAATCGAACTGGTATTTTCAAGAAATCCAGAAAAACCCTCTGGTAGGTGTTTTTATCATTTATCATTATTTTGTATTTTCTCTTTTGTTCAAAAAAGAATACAGTGGGGATGGGTTAGAACCTCTGTCAGGTTTTTCTTTTATCTTTTTTGCTCTGTCCCCACTAACCCCTTATTTGTCCTGGTGACATTTGTATTTATTCATTTCAATTTTATTGGGTTTGAAACTATAAAACATACAAAGCATTGATATAGGAACCATATAAAAACACAGGAAGCTATACCGAGTGCTGAGGATAATAGAGGTTACCAATCCAAAAACATCCAAGAGGGAAAAACGAGAGGGGCGTGGAGGATAAAGGACAAACAAGACACGAGGGGACAAAGGCAATAGGCATCCCGAGTGGAGTACATGAGTTCTTCCAAAAGTCAGGTGGAGTCCAGTTTGTGAAACCATTCCGAAATAGAGGGTATGTGAGTAGATCTCCAAAACCTGGGGACAAGAGATTTAGAAGTATTTTGCATAAATGGTACCAATGTTTTCCTGTAGGTACTAGGTGACCCCATGTTGAGGTGAAATAAACACACCCATGGATCCAGGGGGTGTTGCACACCGCAGACCTGTTGTATGATCTGTACAACTTGTGTCCAGAAAGGCTTGATCAGTGGGCACTCCTACCAGATGTGGGCAAAAGAGCCTGGACTTCCACACATCCGCCAGCAATGGGGGTAGAAATGGGTGTTAGCCGCATGTAGCTTAATGGGGACCTGATACCATTGAGAAAGCAATTTATAGTTTGTCTCTAACATTAGAACATCGATCGAGGAGGACGTGACTACGGCCAATATCTAACTCCTCTCCTAAGGGGTGAGAGTACGGTGAAATTCAGTCTCCCATTTAGACAGATAAGGTGGGGGCGAGTCATGCTCAAGATGGATCAAAGCTTTGTAAAATATACAATATAGTAGGAAATATAGTTTCAAATGAAATCTTTAGGCGTTCTCAATGGTTTTGGCAGGGAGGCTAGAAAATGGGACAGCTGGCGGTCCTTCAAGAAATGCAGGGGTATCTTGCCTTGCCGAACCTGTAGGTGGGGGTAGAGGGAATATGGAGGTACCATGCAGTACATCACGCAGTTTGAGGATAGTTGAGTCTGACCATTTCTAAAAGCACTTGTCTAGTTTACCCGGCGGAAATAAGTCAGAATCCTGCAGCGGTATCATGATTGAATTGTAAGGCCAGTGATCCCAGGTACGTAGGGTTAGGGTTGTTAGAGGTAGTGTAGAGGGAGCTAACATTCTCCACTTGGGAGACAGCCAGATCACATCTGACAAAGGGGCATTGCATGGCGCATGTCTCCAAAGACACCCTACTCTTCCGCATTGCACCGAAGAACCTGTCCACCACTCTCACCATTTGGGCAGCAACATGATAAGTCCGAAAGTCGGGAAGGGGCCAATCCACCGTTCCGGCGAATGCGGATAATAGCACGTCCTGAAATTCTAGAAAGTACGGTGTTGCCACACATAATTGGAAACTAGCCATTGAAGCGTCTAGAAATAGGAACCAGGAAGAGTTATGGGCAGCATTTGAAAAAGGAATAGCACTTCGGGGAGAATCATCATTTTAACTGCATTAATTCTACCGACCCAGGAAAGGTAATGTAGAGAGGAGGCCATATCAGACTTAACCACATTTAATAGGGGAATTCAATTATATTGATATAAATCCAAGAACTTGGGTGTCAACAGAACTCCGAGGTAGCGGAGGCATATTGGTTGCCTTTGGAAAGAAAAATGAGGGAGAAGGGCTTGCCGGTCCTCTTCTGGCACTGATATATTAAGGATCTCAGATTGTCCAATGTTAATTTTAAAGTTGGAGAAGGCACCATAGGTTTTTAGTTCTGTCAGTAGTTTGGGTAGGGACATCCTTGAATTCCGGACATTAAACAAAATATTGTCAGCCCTCAATTTAAATTTGTCCGCTGGGGAAAGAATGCGGTGAATATCTGGATTCCGTCTCAATAGTATCTAATAGGGGTTCAAAGGAGATGGCAAATAAGAGAGGGGATAGAGGGCAACCCTGTCTGGTCACGTTGTATAGCGTAAGGGGGAGAAAGAGCCATTTATCCTAACCTTAGCGGTAGGGTTTGCGTAGAGATCAGAGATCCAATCCATCATCCTGGGAACCCAAACGCAGGTGGGATAAGGTTGCGAGAAGGAAGCCACAGGTCACTCTGTCGAAAGGTTTTTCCACATCAGTAGACAAGAGTAACACTGGAGACTTCTGTTGTCTGGCAACGTGAATGAGCGAGATAGTCTTAAGAGCATTGTCCCGGGCTTCTCTACCAGGGATAAATCCCACCTGGTCTGGGTGGACCCAGGACGGCAAGAGCCGATATAGTCCTTTTGCAAATTTTTTGGGGAGAGTTTTGTGTCTATATTTAATATAGAAATGGGGGCGATAGCTTGCGCAACAGGATGGATCTTTATCTGGTTTGGCAATTACTGTAATATGTGCTAATAATGATTCGGTGTGTAAAGGGGAGCCTTTGGTTGATGGAGTTGGCATAAGAACAAAATTGTGGGGCGAGAATGTCCTGGAAGCGTCTATAATAGAGTAGTGTAAAACCATCCTGGCTCTTTCCTAACGGGGTAGTTTTGATGACCTGTTTAAATTCAGATAAGGGGATATCAAATTCTAGGGCAGAGAGGGCTGGGAGGTTAGCTTTGAGCTGATAGGAGTTAATTCTGTCAAGTCTAGAGGACCGAACAGCAGGGTCATCGGGTTCATCAACCTGATGAAGATCCTGATAAAATTCGTGAAATACCTCAGCGATGACCGAAGTGGACTACACCAGGGAGCCAGACTTGGATTTAATTTTTGAGATGAAGGTGGCAGACTGCTTAGATCTCAATGCCCTCGCAAAGTACCTACCCTGTTTGTTACCCAGTTCATTGTACCTACAAGAGACAACATTAAATGACTATTTGGTATCCGTCTCCAGCAGGAGACCTAATTGGTCTTGCTTGGCTATCAATTCCTTAGGAATTTTCGGATTGGGAAAACCCTTGTGGCTCAGTTCCAGGCGTTGGATCTCCGTGGGTAGCCTCCCCAGTGTCTATCCATTCCCCCTTGCACCGGGCTCCCACAGCTATCAGCTTGCCACGGTGGACGGCCTTATGAGCTTCCCACATACAAGTCGAAGACACCTCAGGGGATACATTGTCACAGAAGTATGATTCTAGAGTTTGTGACAGATCTGTAACAATCATCGAATCTTGCAACAATTAATCATTTAGTTTCCAGTTATAAGTTTTCCCCGTGGAGGAGTCTAGGGATAAAGAGATCAAGACTGGAGCGTGGTCAGAGATTGTCATGAGAAAGATATCAGCGGAAAGCTTCTGGCATTGCGTTGATGGACTCCTCCTTATTAGTTGTGCCTCAACAACTTCATCAGAGGTGTGCTATTGATGTGTCTATTGATATACTGTTGGATTTATTACAGTTTGTCATGCACATTAGAAAACTTGGCCATCCAATGTCTATTAACCTCTTGTTTGGTCCCAGCTTTACAATGCAAAGTATTTTCTACAGGTGGAACTCGAATAATTAGAATATCGTGCAAAGTTTATTTCACTAATGTAACTTAAAAGGTGAAACTAATATATGAGATAGACTCATTACATGCAAAGCAAGATAATTCGAGCCGTGATTTGTCATAATTGTGATGATTATGGCTTACAGCTCATGAAAACCCCAAATCCACATCCTCAAAAAAGTAGATTATTACATGCAATCAATAAAACAAGGATTGTACATAGAACAATATCGGACCTCTGAAAAGTACAAGCATGCATATGTACTCAGTACTTGGTTTGGGCCCCTTTTGCAGCACTTACTGCAATTACTTTTGCACGATATTCTAATTATTCGAGTTTCACCTGTATATATGTGAAAACCATAACGTGTTTTTCCTGCATTCAAACGACATTGGTGTCACATATATTCACAAACCTATCATTTTAGTATTTCTAGCATAGATTGTTGATCTCCATCGCTAAACTTTCATCTGTTGCTCTGAATTACCTAAAAGTTGTAGCTGCATTATCCATTCATCAATTTTGAAGCTGATCATGCACTGTATTGATTAAAGTATCCCATGCTTCCTTAGGAATCTTTGATCAGTGCAATTGTTTGGCAAAATCAGCATCTTTTGAAGGATATGGTGCATTTTTCATGGCGGCTCCTTTTAGCACCACTAGCTGCCACAATTGCAAAATAAAATAGTTTGGGAATTAAGTAAGAATAACATTTCTACTTGCTATGGTGTTTCAAGAGATGCAAAATCTTTCAAGAGATTTAATTCGTTTTTAGACATGTGTGGTATGTTGCCCAAGAAACCTATTTAAATAAAAAATCATATAACTGCACACAGCATTACTTCCTAATGTCAAGCATTTGATTTAAAATCAGGAATCTGCATCCTCGGGTCCCCATACACTGACAACTAATTACTAATAGATTTTGTCTGCCAAAAGTCAGCCAGTGTATTGGCTGTGCAAACTGATATCTTCTAGAGACTGTAATAAATGATGTGGCCATCCTAGGTACATGTTATTGCACATATGTCGTTCCTGGAGAATGCACATCTTCCTTTTTGTATATATTTTTAATAATGATATTTTCTAGATAGTAGTTTGTATAACTCATAATTATATGCATATAAGTAAATTTACAGAATGCTATAAGGCTTAAATTGCTTGTGCAATTTTGTCTTGTCCTAGTGAGCAAATAACTTGTGTTGGTTATACACATTGAAATCAGTGTGTAGGTCAGCTGCAAATGTCTGCTGTAAGATGAGGCTATTATATGGTTAAATGACATATCTGGAAGAGGTGGAGCCTTGCTGAATGAAATTGCTTACATGCTCACTTTCACATTTCTCCTGGGTTCCGCTCACCTCCCCCTTTTACTTTTGTGTTCCAGGAGTTCATATTTCAGATGTTTAGGGGTTTTTCTTCCCCTTGTTCATCCTCATGTTTACTTTTAAACCAATCTTTCTGTGTATTAGTTATGTACAGTTCTTCACAGCAGAGTATTTTTGCTAGCATTGCTCCAAGCTGTGATGCATCTTAAACGAGAATTTGTTACTGATTTTCCACATTCCTCTGCAAAGGTAAGAGCCTTTTTTCTGCACTGCTGAAATGTGTTGTAGATTACATTCTTCAGGAATCTGTTGGGAGTGGTATGCAGAATTTGTTTGTGAACCGTGCAAAGTAGCAGCATGTAGGAACATCTAGAATGTATTTCAAGGATTTGCTGGATTCCTGATTTAGGAACTGTTTGCTAAAGCTTTCTAAAGCCTTTGTGTTGGTCTCAGCCTAGAATATGTTTTTCAGGTTAGCTTATGTTTGCTATTGTTTTTACAAGTGAAAAGGGAATAGTTGTAAGTCATCCACCAAAGAAATAATTGTAGTTTTAAAGAAAAGAAAGGGCAGAATTTCATTCAAAGCTGGCATTGGTTATTCTCATTTCAAGACAGGAAACATCAGGAAGA